ATTTGATATTTATTAAGTTATATTATATCACCTACTCACTCAGTTTTATTACTATGGTATATTTTACTTCCCGTCAGCTATAATTGTATTAAAATCATCTTCAAATGAGATATATGGGGTATAAACTCAACTGAAGAAGCTAAATTTAATATAACGAGCTCATGAGAAAACATCAACTAGAGGATCGCAATTCATTATTTTAGGGATATAAAGATTTGAATATTGTCGAGAACAATTTCATTTATATTCCTACACAATTTTTAAGAAAACTTGTTCATTTAATGTTATTAATTAATAATTGATTAATTATTTTCAGGCAATTTTATAAATATATAACTCACACATTGAACGACATGTTTGGCATATGGTTTGCTAAAATAATGAAAATCAATATATAATATGTAGTATTTGGGAGTTGGAGTAATTCCTAGACTAAATTCACATATTTTTGGCATTAAACTATGATATATATGGGCGGATAACGGTGTTTATCTATGCAATCGAGCGCTTGATTGGCTGCGACGGTAACCGATTACATGTACCTTTCAAATTGACGCCTCTCAGCATACTCGCATTCTGATTTCACGACTTCCTTTCATTTGCTGGAACTCGACTGTGTTGATGTTGGTGAAATTTTGCGGAAATGTCAACATTGAACGCTTCAATTTACATGCGCTTTCATTGCAGCGCCATCAGCAGCACCATTGCCTTCGCCAACGGGCATAAGTCTTCGACAAGCCCCAGCCATCACAATTACCATCGCCAGCGACAACAAGTAGAACAACGACAGTAACATAAGTCAGCGACAAGTCGTCGACGTTGACGACAACCCAAACAATGAAATGTTGACGACCCAACTGTTCCTGTTGTTTCGTTTCATTTCGCCTGCCCCTTTTTGCTTCATAGTGTGCGGTGGCATCGGCGTCGGCGGCGGTGCTCTTTCTTCAAGGTATTCGCCTGCGGTCGTTGGGTTTTTTTGTTGCTTGCTGCTGTTGCTGGTGCTGTCGTTCGTTAGAAACAATTACAAAAAATCGCTAGAAACCATCACAACGAAAAGCGGCAATCATTTGAAGCAAGCAGCGTACATCAGCGATAACAACAAAAAAAACCAATTCAACAAGAACAAATTTAGCTGTTTTACCCACAAATTGTGTGGCCCGTTGCTATTGTGGCGCTGTTGTTCAACATGCTGCTTATGTATCCTTCTTTGTTTTTGTTGTTGTTGCTTTGCAATTATTACTCCAAGCTTTTTATTTTTGCAAGTTGAGATTTTTGTCATCATTGCCGACCCTTGTTCTATTTATGCAGTTACAAGCAGCTGTCATAATCCACCCACACCCAAGTCAAGGCCTGAGAGAGATTTCTACTTGATATGGCGCGCTGAATATTTAGGAAGAAAGCAGGGCGCGGAGCATGTGCCTAAAAGAAAAGTGTAGCGCAAAGAAAAAAGTTGTCGAACGATTGCGATCTAATTTTTGTTGCTTTAAACCGCTATAATTAAAATGCCAGTTAAATATGGAGTGTACAGATTCGAGAATTTGAGAAGACCTCTGAGCCTTTTGTTTGCATATACATACAAAAGTCAAATTTTATTTTAGGTTGCTTCACTCCAAGAATAATGTGTATTCACCCACTTTTCGGACATCGTTTTACAGGGATATACTTGTAGATTGACATGGCTAAAGTTAAAAGCATTAGGCCTCTTGGTCCAAAAAATTTGCATGATAAGCACATGAAATACTTTTGTATACCTCCTCGCAGAACTATGCCAGGATTAGTTGTCCGGGAGACTGACAATTCTTTAAAAATATAGGTAAGAAAATTCTTGGATTCAAACAGAGAAGAATGGAAAGAAATAATGGTATGGTTATCGAGAGCCATGTAATCAACGGTTTTATTCACCGAAAAATACGGTAGCTTAACTAGCATTCTAGGAAATTCAAGGTACTGCTCAATCGATAGATTTTTAGTGAGGTACTCAGTGGAAATCATTTGTACACCAAGTAATATGGGCAGGAGGAAGAAAGAAAAGTAGCCGACGAGCCGCTCAGCTTTTTCAAATGCTAGAGCTTTCAACAAAAGGATTATACACATAGTGGTCGATTTCATAGGCTAGAAATAAAAAGTAAAATTTCCGAAATTTGATACTACTATTTCTTCAAAGAATAATACAACAAACGGTAAATAAATTTTTAGTCTATTTACGTTTTACGAATAAAGAGAGAAAACAGACAATAAAACCAAGTTGACTGTGCAGTGAGCGGAGTTTTTAATTTGGTCCTCATATATATATTATAATGAATATTGAAAAACAAGTATATACTACAACTCTATGTGATTTTGATGAAATAATATGTTTGCTTATTGTTTTGAAATCACTGTTTTACCATAGATTTGTCGAGTGGTGTATTTTTCTTTATGTATAGATCTGAGTTAGAGAAAAGGTTGTGATCTCTGTCTTGCCATCAAATGAAACATTTTTTTAAATATTGGTTAATGTTTTCGTAGTCTATATTGGTGCTTTGGTTTCAAAATTATAATTTTTATAATTTCATCAAACGTTTGTTTGGTTCGTACCTACGTACATTTATAGTACACAGCTTTATCTTAACATTGTAAACTTTCCCAGATATAAATATATATTTGATTTGTGGTGTTTAGAAAAAGGTTCATTTGCTGATAAAGTCAAAAACGTATATGACTAATGCATAGATTTGAGTCTGTAGGTTGAGAATATATTGAAAATATGGTTAAGAAAATGCTTAATTATATATTTAAAAAGTTTGGAAAAATATGGAGTAAAAGCAAAAGAACAAAATTTAAAGATTTCGAAAAATACTTGGATTGGTTTGTGCAAAATGAATATATACAATTAAGTCGGCAATCGACTGCTCAGATAACTAGTCAAAGGATATTACCTTGAAAAATAAGTCGGTTTTATTAAAATCAGTTCTTGAGTTATGTTAACATACTTGAATAATATAATATTAAAACATATTTATTTAATTTTTAAATAAACTATTTTAAATAAATTTAAAGTCGTTATCATTACATTTATTTACCCTAATTTTGTTACTTTAATTATTAAATAACCTAGTCAAAAGCAAAGGAAAATCTTTTGTGTTTTTTACAATTTTTGCAAAATATTTTTCAATGGGTAGATGGCATGGGTAGTGAGAGATAATTTTGGAGCGTTTGATTAATAGTAATATTTTTATTTTTATTACTTATAATAATTACTATATAAAGCTATGAAAATAAATTGACTTTGATATAGGCAGTGGAAGTATTTTTGGTCGCTGATTCCATACAAGACCGACCACTGTGAGACCGCGTGTCTTAAAATTATTTCGGGACAGTGTATATTAATAACCCAACAATTATCCTCCTCCCGTCCAATCGACGTGGGGGAGCCGAGTCATTATAATAAATTGTTACCGTTTTATTTATTAAGAGAAAGCAAAATATTATTTTTAATTTTGAAGTTAGTCAGACAAATCAAATGTGCAGGAATGAGAATTAAAATCATGACATATGTTGTGGAAAGTTTCGTTTATGTAAATATTTGATTAACAAAAGGGTCTAAACTGCCTCGAAAAACCAGCCAGAATATTAATTTAACTGTTCTATTCAGGATTTTCACCAAGACTGTTATGCGAAGCATTCCCCTACGACTAATAGGTGTATGCTGATTTACAAGTTTTTAATGACTAGTGTATTTTAAGAATATGCACTACAACAAAACACCGAATTGCTTTGATGAAATTTTAGCTCTCGTAGGCCCAGAACCGCAAAAAAATGCGCCTACGAAAAAAACTACATCAACAACAAATAAATAGCAGCGAACGTATTGCGACAACAAAAAGTCGGTTACAAAAGCAAAAAGCAACAAAAATAAATTGTACCAACATTTGCGTTGAAATTGCAATGTGGAGCATATTGTGTCTCTACACTGCTAGAACATAGATGAGATGACGTCTGAGTAGCGTCCTGGTGGCAAAAAGCGTCGTGCTCGGAGTTGCGTCGCTTAGTATGGGGGTGACAATGGTAGATACACTCAGCGCCTGCGCGTATTGAAATTCGTTCATTTAACATTCAACGCTGTCTGTTGACGTTGATTTATATTTTCCAACAACAACAGCAGCAACAATCAAGACAATTATGGCAACTATAAACTAACCTTTGTATGGTGTGTAGCACAATATCAGCTACAGTACTCTTAAAAAGCGCCAAAGAATGAAGGTAATCGTAAAAGTCTAAACAACGAGGAGAAATTCATTGGGCGATCAAAGTCCCCTACGGTGGCACCCACGTGTTACAGTCCAGGCATAACAAAGGCAGTAGAAGTGGATAACTTTCAAGCATAAAATAAATTGCTGTTAAATTGTGATTTTTACTAACATGTCCATAGTTTAGTTTATGTACATATCTACGTGTATTAAAATATCTCTACAGCATAAATTAATTAAATATAATAAAATCAACAGCTGTAAATTCATCTGACGTATATTCGAACAGCTTGTTAATATAATATAATAATATAATGTGGAAATTGGTTTGGTGGTACATACTCGTTGCAATAAAATTCTAAATATGTAGTTACAATCCGACTGCAATAGACTTAAAATGTTTTCGTTTTTTAAGTACACGCTCTTTTATATTCTACATCTTTAATCAAATACTGCTAACCAATATGCCGGTGAAATTTCGAGGTCCTTTCTGCAATAACCTGATTGAATAGTTAGTGTTTCCACATTACATATTTACCAAGGGTGGCCTTATATCTTGTATCTTTGTTTTTATCTCACACTTTTTGATTTCAGTGGCTTATGTTGTGAAGATATATGCTTATAATTGATTTTATATACAACTAGCAAACCCGGCGAACTCCGTTTCGCCACCAGATGGCTTTGTTTTATGTAACATTTCGTTTGGTAATTAAGAGATGAATAAACATTTTTTTTTGTTTTATATTCAAAAAGGAAAAATTTTATTTCATTTCACAACAGTAATGAATTCATTTCGATGACAAAAATGAAATGCATGTGGCGTGGGCTTCCGATATAAGATGATGGGAGAATCGTCAGACGTCTAATATTCTGAACATCACCATCTGAATGAATAGCATCACGCAAGTGTATATAGTCCTCAGATCGTAGCTTTGCCTGATTGAATCGGATGAACGCTAAACGTTCGGTCTCGACTTTGACATACATGTAGACAGCGAATTGCTGGAATAGCCGACGGCACTTCAGAATGACATTCTCCTCATGTGTACGAATCATCATACGATACGCATAGTAATTCATTGCGCTTAGATTTTTATTCGTTGTTACGCCTGAAAATGCAAAATTAAATAAATTGTTAATGGAAACCAATAATAGCAATAATTAGTGTGTGAATATTGTACCTGAAATTGGATCGACCATCTTCAACATGATGTCGTACCCGTCTTGCCCTTGCCAATAAATGATTGGATATTGTAACGCATCGTACAAACGATGTGTCTCGTTTACACGATGCAAGATATTGCTTCTTCGCTGAACGACAATGTCTCGCGATTTAGTTAGATCGCCAACAATAATTGCAGCAACATCATTAACGGTGGGTACATTGAATCTTCGCACATGTTCACCTGTTGGAGTACAATCCGCTCTTATGACAAATTTGTGCGTATCCGATGGCATTCGTTCCAATGCTGTTTTGAACATATTAACCACAGCATTATTAGCGTGTAAAAATGATTGCAACTGTTCAATAATTCGTCTCTTTAATTGTTGTGTTCCTTGTATATTGCACCGCACATTCAGCTGATCAACCATCGACGAAATGAAATATATTTGCAGAAATTGATGCGGTTCATCTGGTGTTGGCAGCATTGAACCATGCAAATGATATATTTGTCCTTGTATCTGTAATTGCAAACAATCATTTGTTAAAGAATACGGTGTAACTTCTGATCGTGTGATGGTGTAGTGTGTGGTGTATATGTAGTTGTTATGTGTTGCAATTTATTGTGTTGGTGTGAATGATTGGTTGTGTGTGTTGTATCTTATACCTTGCAAGTCGGCATGAAGCCGCCTTCTCGATTNATATTAGCTCCAAAGGAAGTCATGCGAAAGCAGTTATTGTATTCAAGGATGTGTTGAAGAAAATGGCTGGAATCGGGATCACTTCCAAGAATGCCAAGCGATTGTATGAAGCTTATCTTCGTGTGTTCACGCGTTGTCTCAATCGGGCATTTTCTCTTATTATATTTCTTATTATATTTTGTCGTTGTTGAATCGGTTCTTGCGTTCTGGAGTCATAGCGTCAGGAAGGAAAACCCGACTTATTTTTATATAGTAGATACTAGGCGCCCTCCGCTGCGCTCCGGGACGCTCGCTTCGCTCGCTCGCCTACGTCCGCCCCCCGCTGAGCGCGAGCTAGCTCGCTCTTATGTTAGTTGATTCTCGACAGCAGCAGAAAACTTTTATATATAATAGAGAGAAAATGCATTACAACTGTATTGAGGAGTATGAAAAGCTCTAAATGGCAACAGATTTGCTTTACTGAGCAACGAGCCCAACGACTATGCGAACTACAGTTATGATGAAAATTTAGATATTGGACCAATGACGACTATATGCCGATATTGCAATGCGTTAAAGTTCAAAAGAGAAACGGCTGGATTGTGCTGCGCAAGTGGATCCATTACTTACACCACCAGAACCACTGAGACCATTGTTCGATGGAAGTGATCCCGATTCCAGCCATTTTCTTCAACACATCCTTGAATACAATAACTGCTTTCGCATGACTTCCTTTGGAGCTAATATNAATCGAGAAGGCGGCTTCATGCCGACTTGCAAGGTATAAGATACAACACACACAACCAATCATTCACACCAACACAATAAATTGCAACACATAACAACTACATATACATAAACTCTAAATGGCAACAGATTTGCTTTACTGAGCAACGAGCCCAACGACTATGCGAAGGGTACCTCCACAGTCAGTAGTACCAAACCGCTTCCAATAAATTTGCACGAGTGTAGCTCTAATGTTCTTGTGCCCAAATTAAGTGACATTGTTGCCAAAAAAAAATTTAATATAGTGCCTTGAAAAAAGTTAACCTTGAAGAAACCAAAATACAAACATACACAGAGAAAAGTACTCATATCAAGAAATAATTGATGCCAAATTCTCATCAGCTTAACCCTTAAAAGCCTGATAACTCTGATTAATTAAAAATTTTGATATGTATTATAACGGTCGATTACAAACAACATTTATTCTACGGGCATACCAAATCATAGTGCACCCTACGAAGTGTTGGTGTAGTATGTGGTGATATACACGCTGAAGAAAGAGGATATAACAAAGAATTGCCATAATTGTGGAGGAAATTACACTGCTAATTATAGGGGTTGGCCTGTATTTAAGGACTTGAAGTCGAAGTTGTCGCTCTGAATTTAAGGATTTCACATATCGATAATAAGTTTGAAAATCTTGCGCAATAAGAACTGGGGTCAACATATTCGGTATGTAGAGACTTAAACAGTTATTACCGAATTTAATTAGATACCTACCGAATTTGGATGAAATCGGTATAGGTAGTCCCGAAATCTAAGTTTTCACCTAAATATGAGCAATTTATTGGTTTTCGATTAATGACATTCTATGTGCATGGCAGGGGTTCGATTACGCCCATCTACGAACGCGTCCTCACTTTTTTTCCAAGAAACACGTTTATCAAGTTTCATTAGGATATACCAATTTTTTTTAAGATACAGCTTGCACAGAAGTCCGATTTCAACTCGCTTCGTCATCCTGATCATTTATACATACATAACTCCATATCTCATCATATTAACTTATTTTGAAGGTCATAGCCCCCTTTAGCTTTATTACTTTTGCATTTATTTCTCGTCAGTGAAAATTATACTAAAATCGTTAGGGGTAGAGAAATGGAAGGGGTGATTGCCTTAGTTTTTGACTTTGCTCAGGTATACCTGAAAAGTTATTTTAATTAAATAATAGCAAGGTTATATATATATCAATAAGTATAAACATTTCAAAATCCTGAATATCAGTTATGTAGACCCTAAGGTAAGCTTTCGCTACAATTCATCCATTTGAATAACCATTTTTGACACAAGGGTATATTATATCGCAATTTAGTGCTTAGTTATGGCATTTTATATGTTGCACGGAAAGATGGACAGACAGACATTCACCCGAATTTTAACTCGCTTCGTTATCGAGATCATTTATGTTTATATAACCGATGTCTATCTCGATTAGTTTTAGGTGACACATACATCTGTTAGGTAAACAAAACTATTATACTCTGAAGCAACATGTTTCAGGAGTATAGAAATATGGATGTAATGCTAAATGCAATGAAATGCGCATGGTGGAACAGCAGTGTTGGTTTAAAAATCGATTAAACCACCATGTTTTAGAAGCTCAAGCTACAAGAATAAGTTTAAAGAATCGCAGTAGTGACCTAAATCTGACAGTTATGCAAGGAGCGTTCCAAAGTAAACAGGACTTTAAAAAAAAGACAGAACAAATGGTTTTATCGGCAAAATCAATTAATTTTATTCAAAATAGTCTTCTTCTGCTTTAATACATCTTTTTGCACGGTCCAAAAGCATGTCGAACGAGTGTTTTAACTCGTTGCCCGGAATGGCCGCCAGTATGCCGGTGCAAGCCTTTTGAATGGCCTCCACGTCTGCATAACGCTTTCCTTCCACCGGCAAATGTATTTTTCCGGAAGGGTAGAAGTCGCACGGTGCCATATCAGGTGAATACGGGGAGTGGTTGATTGTTAAAATGTGATTTTTCCATCTTCCATCTTCGTGATATTCGGGCCGAACACGTCGAATACGGCGCACCAAACAAATTGGAACAAATTCTTTGTAGACAATGCCCTTGGAATCATAAAAACAAATCAGCATTGTCTTCACTTTTGACTACTCCAGGCGCGATTTTTTGGGTTTCGGCTCATTTCTCATTTATGTCCTCACGATCACTTTGAAAACGTTGAAACCACTCGTGCACTCTGCCACGGGACAGGCAATCATCGCCATAAACTTGTTTCATCAGTTGAAACGTTTCGGTAAAAGTTTTACCAATTTTAAAACAAAATTTAATATTGGCTCTTTGCTTGAAGCTCATTTTCGCACCTATGACAAAAATATACTGACACTTAAACGCAATAACTTCACTTCCCATAGATGAAATGTCATGAAATTTTTACTGGAAGTCGATAAAGGAGAGCAGATTCTAACGCACTAGTCGACATAAAGATGGCGCCACTAGAGTTTACTTTTTTACTGTTTACTTTGGAACGCACCTTGTATACTGCCCACATCGTTTTACAATTACAGAAGACCAATTTGAAGACTTTTTGGCTCACTAGAAAATATATTTCTAGCAGGTGGTGTATGAACACGTTCATAAAGGTCTAGGTATTCCTGTGGTAAAGAAAGAAGTAGAAAACAGCAGAAATAACTATGAACTTAAACTTGGTAACCATTCAAATCCACTGGCTAACGGCAGTTTAGTTTTAATTAGATTTAGGATTTTATGATAATGAAAAAGTTTACCATACAAGTCCTTGATTCAGAACGTTCAGCGTGGTGTATGGAAGCTATATACTATGGTGGTACGATATCGGTGGTTCCGACAAATGAGCATATCGTGAGGATAAAAGAACATGTACAAAATTCCAGGTCGATATCTCAAAAACTGAAGGGCTAGTACGCGTATAAACAGACAGACAGACGTGGCTAAATCGACTCAGCTCGTGATGCTGATCAATAATATATATATTTTATAGCAACTCTGACGTTTATTTCTGGCTGTTACAAACTTCGTGGCAAACTTAATATACCCTTTTCAGGGTATAATAAAAGTAATATATTCAACAATGTGCTTATAACCCCTAAATTTTTAATAATTTTGTCTATATATTTTGCAACATCAAATTAGTTGAATAAAATTATCTTGTTTAATGGCAATGTCACCATTTGCCAACATTTGACATTATGAATTGTTGTGGAAAAGTGTAGGTTTTCCATCGCGCGTTCATCAATATGCCAGGGCTAGATGAGTCGCTGTGACTTAGGGGGGGCACAATAGACCATAGGTCGCGGTGCATACCTCAATCATTATCTAATCTAATCTAAATGACAATGATAGTATCAACAAGTAAGGAAGGGCTAAGTTCGGATGTAACGGAACATTTTATACTCTCGCAAAGTCAAATGGTATACTCGTTTGAGATTTCTTTGTGGATTGGCTGATATTTTCGGTAGAAGGTTAACTATAGGCACTGGGGTCCACATATTTAGTACTTAGGGGCTTGAACAGTTTGGGTTCGATCTAGACAATTTTTGATCACAAGGTGGCATACTTTAAACGTATTATTCACGCAAAGTTTTACCCCGATATAATCATTGTTGCTTGATATGCATAGTGGAAAGTGAAAGAATCAGATGGAATTTAAAATGATGTTCCTATAAAGTCATCTCATACCATCCCAGAGATAAAATTTAACGTCTCTGGCGTGGTTAGTGCTTGATTTGTCGCGCTTTTAGTAGTTTTTAACAATACCATTATATGGGGAGTGGGCGGAGTTGCTACCCGATTTCAACTATTTTCACACTGTGGGTAGAGGTTCTAAAAGCATTTGCTTCCAATGAATTTTGTTATTATAGCTTTAGCATTTTAGGAGATATGCACATTAAACCTATTAGGGGGCGCGACCACACCCACTGTAAAAAAAAATTTAAACTGCAGATGCCCCTCCTTAATGTGATCCTGTGTACTAAATAACAGTCTTGTATCTTATTGCGGAGCTTAGTTATGGCACTTTATTTGTTTTTGATTAATGGCGTTTTGTGGGCGTGGCAATGGTCCAATTACGCCCATCTGAAATACCAACCGTCTCATGGTACCCTGAAACATGTCTACCAAGTTTCATAAAGATATCTCAGTTTTTACTCAAGTTACAGCTTGCACGGACGGATAGACAGACAGACGGACGGACGGACAGACAGTCACCCGGATTTCAACTCGTCTCTTCATCCTGATCATTTAGGTGAACACCGTTAGGTG